GCCGATGGACATGTGACTGTTTTGCTAAGGTCAGGGCTCCAAATGGCGATCTTTTCATCACAGGCCAAGAGGCTTGAGCCCCAGGGTGGCAGGACCTAAGATGGGAGAACGGAGATGACCGATCTGGGCAGGGAATCTTGTGGTTTGGAATCCCGAAAGATTTAAAAATTGTTACCTAGAGTGGCAGATTATTTGTGGCGACTGAAAGCTGCTTTTTAAGTCTTGTCCATTTCACATAACCAACTGAAAATACAAATATTACACTTCATAACATTCATCTCATTTAAATAGCAATAGACTTGCTTTATGACAATAAAGCAAGTTGTGGCAAGTTATAGGCTATTGACTTGGATAACACAGGAAAATAATAAAAAAAGCCCTTGAGCATCTCTAAGGTTATGCTGTTGTATGCTTATGAAAAACCTGACTATCAGCTATATCTGGGTTTGATAGGGACACAGCCATCCTCCAGTGATCCTTGAAAACCCTTCGTTGGCGAAAATTTGAACAAGTACCTGTCATGTAAAAGTCCAATTTCCATTATAAAAAAATCCATTGAGTAAAATAGGCACATTTTAAATATGTTAATATAATAAAGACACATCTAAAAAGGTAAAATATAAATTACGAGACAATTGAACAACTGTCATGTAAGAAATTCAACTTAAATTTTGCCTTAAATTAAATTACTTTTAAATTATAGTTTAAATGGGGCTTAGTGAACTTCTGATGCTCTCTGTGCAAGTTTTTAAAATGTTTGATGATAATCTTAGAGATATCTGTCACTTTACATGTTTCATTTTCAAAGAATAATTTTAAAAAAATTCAAATAACATTACAATAACAATAATATGAAATCAATACAATAGACACAAATGGACAAATGATAATATTCTAGGAACTCTGTCTCTGGCAGCTAAAATGGTAACAGTACCATAAACCGAACAAGGCATCAGTGTTTGGAAGCAAAATGGTTTAACAGCACTGGAGCATCTCGTACTCGTCTGCATGACATGAGGGCTCAACCTTCTTCTCAAGTGACTTCACACACGGTTCTCCTTCACACTGCATTTATCTAGTGTCAATAATATATCAGTGTACAAATTTACCACAGTCACATTTACCACTGCCCTTTCCCCAATATCCTCCAATGGAGCAGTGTTCATGAATGGCCTTATTTTAATTGATAACATTCAAATGGATAGCTAAAGAGTAAGCCCACATATTAATATTGTTATTATGTTACAATCCCAATTCCCTTTTTGGTGATACTTGATCAGAGTAGGCCTGAGCTGACTTTGGCTCGGTCTTCCTAATAGCATTCATATTATCTCAATAGACACACAATTCCTTCAGAGGGAAATCTACTATATAAAGGGTGCTTATGTTCTGGAAGATGTATAAATACTCAACATTGTGGTAATTAGTGTGTCTTGTGTGTCTCGAACATATGGCTGATTTTCTAGTATAATGTTTGTTTAAGAAACAACGAGTAACTTTCAGTTTCATTTCCTTAACTGGTTCCAGTATTGTGGAGCCTAAATTCTTGGAAATCTGAAAGCTATTGTGTATCATTAAATCCTTATCGTAGCACCCTGGCTGAAATATTAACACCGTCTTTTGACATGTTTGCATTACAATGAAATGTCTGTTACAGTTTCTCTTTGTTAAGTTTGCAGAAGTTGGTTATATTGTGATATTTTAAAATTATTTATAGTTGCATTTTGTGTAACCTATGACATCAAACGGAAGCATAACAACAAACATCTTTCATCAAAACAACCACCATCTCTTGTGTATTGTTCCTCTGCTGACGTAAATATTACAAGCTCATCATGTGTACCTTCAAAGACACAAAATTACTCTGCAATTCTGCCAGAAAAGTGTGCTTTTTCTGAAATAGAATCTTTTTTAGGACTTTTTATTTTCAGGTTTACTTACTGAAGAACAACACTTTCTTTCTGCACCATTTTATCATTTGCTTACAGGTCAAAAAAAAAAATCTAAAATAAATTCTGAATAAATGAATACAAAAAACTTAAATTTAAACTTAAATGTGTTACTTGTGTCATATGATAACATAAGCCATCCTTTATGAATTGACTCCAAGTATTTCACATGACACCTTCATGTCCAGAAAAATCTGCCAGTAATATTTGTGGATTGTACAGGGGCTCTCCTTACATTCCCACCGTTACTGTGGACCTTATTTTGCAAACATAAAATGTAATTACCCCAAGCTGTATTATGACACATTGATAAAAGACTTGCTCTAGGGGTGCAAGAGAGGTACATGACTTTAATTTCCTTCAAGACTGATGATAAATATGTATATGATCTCTTTTGCTAAGATAAGCCATGAGCGTTAGCTAATTATACTGACAGTTGGTCACTACTTGTATTTCAGAGCCATTTTTGCACAAACTTTATCCTAAATATCAAGATTAGGTAATAATGAATTTAGCTAATTTGATTGTAAAACTAGCGTTTGCATTTCTTAAATATATCCCAGAAGGGAGTGCAACACATTACTGTCTGTACATGAGCATACATGCATTAGGTGGCATATACCTTATGGATATTCAGCTTTTTTATCAGTTTATATTCTTGTCAGCATCTTATAACATATGATTTAGTTACATGTTCCTAATAGTACAGAAATAAGGAGCAGACACACATGGAGTCTTCTTGGTTGGGTACGGCTGGTTTGACTTTGTCAGTGTTTGCTCAGTGAGTCCCAATTGAGGCACGTTACCTGCATTGTGAGGGAGCGTCAGTTACGGCACTACGGCCATGTGGTGCGTTTCCCTGACGGCGATCCGGCTCCGAGTGACTGGCCCAGGCCGAGGGGACGCCCCCGTTACACCTGGCTGCGGCAGATAGACGGCCATTTCCGGAGGGTGGGACTGGACTGTGTGTTGGCCTGGGGGGTCACCAACTGGGATACCGGGATCTTGAGGTGTACTAGTGCCTGCCCCCCAACCCAACCTGACCTGTTTTGAGGGGACACAAATAATGTGATACTATCCTCATTCTTAATGTATTAATTAACCAGAAACTCAGTGTTAGTTACCTACTGATCCCATGTTAGTTCATCATTAACCAATCAAAATGGTCCATGTATTTCCTGCAGTTACTATATTTGTGCATGATTTGTACTTCAGTAGCAACTGAGTTACTACGTTACTTGTGTCCCCTCAAGTAGCATTACTGACTTTTTTTAGCTTAATAAAAATATCAGTCCTGCCTCATTCTGTCAGTAGAATAATGCAGACTTTGCTCTGAGTCCGTCTGTATAAAGATGAATTGGGAAGCGGTAGGGAGAGGTTCTCTGACTAATGGTGAAGGTGTTGTATGAACCTGCTAGAATAGGGGTAGCCATCAGAGTGTGCTCCTGTTTGACTGAAGCCATTATTTAAACATTTAGTCACCGAATCTATACCTGTTCCCGGCTGTTAATTAACGTGGCTGAAAGGTAATTCTAAAGCCCATGTGCCCAGAAGATGTGCAAGACATCCTCCTTCACCTCTTTATTTGAGTTGTTCCATTGGAGCTTCTGAGGAGGATGTCACCAAACCTGATGTTAAACTGAAGGGAGAGATGGAAACGTGAAGACAGGCCTGGTGCCCCCTCATCCCTGAGCTGGAGTAGAGAGAAGCATCGAATGGCAGGGACGTTTTCAGCTGCGCTTTAGGGCTACCTCCTATTTATTATTACTGCTACTTATTTATTCAGAAAATCAAGTTATCTGAGAGCAGCTGATGTGTCCTGCAGCTAGTTTTCAGAATTGTGGCAATTTGTTTTGTAAATCCTAGTAGGCGGCCTGGGGAACTTAAGCATGCCTACCAGCAAAACTCCAGTGCTGTGCTGTGAGCTTAAAACGGCTGCATCACATTTCAGTTCCAAGCTGTGTCTCGCCTTCTTCCTCGCCCTGTCTGTTCAGCTCTATCATACACGACCAGAGCTATACTCCCCTCTTTAGTCCTTTCCACATTCAGGTAGCATAAATTGTATCGTTTCAAATTTGTTTTAAAGTAATTGATCGAAAACGTACTTGGGTGCAAAGGTACAGAAATTTTCTCAATCAAAACGGTAGTTTGGCTTTATGGTCGTAATGCAGGGGTGCCGTAATGGGGGTGGGAGTTAGGACAATTACAGGAACCCCAAAATTTTTGACCATAATTGGATTGGTCTGAATTGGGGGCCCAACATGGGGGGGGGGGGGGGGGGGGGGGGACTTAGAGCAATTCCAAGGGCCTCTGAGTGACAGGGGCCTTAAACTGAATTGGAACATAATTGCATTGGTCTGGCTTGAGGGCCCAATATGATAGGCTGTCATGGGGCCCAAAATCTCTAGCTGTGCCACAGTTATAATGTACAGTAAATAGTATTAATGGCTGCATGATACTGTCAAGCCAAAGCATCATGGTAACACTGTGCCATAATTCTCTTACTGAAACAGCACAGTGGCAGTAATATTTGATTACAAGTCATTTGATTATAGTAAACCAGGACTGTATAATGAAACATTTTAATATTTTACAGATTCTGTTACTTTGGTGAAAAGAAAATATCTAATAAAAAGTTTTCATTTGTCCTAACGTTTCATTCCTTTAAAGTTTATGCAAGTTTATCTAGAGGATTCCTTGAAATGTGTTTGGTTTTTGATACGAATAACATGCTGGATTAATTCAATATTTGTGAATCATCTACACTCTTCTTACATATTTGGAAAATGTAGAAAATGGAAAATGAATCATCTAGGACAGTGGTAATCTATTAGCCCGATTCCGAATGGAAAGTGAAACTGGTTTACAATACCCAAGTAGGGTAACCCAAAATGGGTGTGTTGCAATGCCGTAGTTTGTCCACTTGATGTCGCACACGAGTAGATAATGGGACCATCTGTGGGAAGCTTCCCCCTCGCCCTCCCCCTCTCTTGTACTATGTGTACTGTGTGTTGTGTGTCTGATAAAAAGTGAGCCTGGGTTTCCAGCCGAGTGCTTCCTCTCGCTCAGTGTGTGTGTGTCTGTGTGTGTGTGTGTGTTGTCATTATTATCCAGTCTGCTCCCAGCTCGGAATGGCCAGATTCACTCAGACTGAAACAAGGAGGCAGCAGCAACTACAACAGCCCCATCCCGCTCACACCGGCCTGGTTTTCACTGGACCGGGGGCCGCACCGACCCAACATCCACTACTACTGATTTCGCACCAGCACCAGTACTCTCTGATCACATTTACAAAACCCATGAACGGGTCAGAATCCATTTCCATTCATCCGGACAGCGGCAACATGAAAGACCAAGATGCCATAAAGCTATTTATCGGGCAGATACCGCGGAACCTCGAGGAAAAAGACCTGAAACCCCTATTCGAACAGTTTGGGAAAATCCACGAACTGACAGTTTTGAAGGACCGATACACCGGCATGCACAAAGGTAACGCGTGTCCCCATAAAACTGTATATCCTACATGACTATCTGCGGTCGGTTCGCTCTGAGTGGGGAATCATATTGTCATATTCAGTCTAATATCAGTTGCGTATGACTGTTCGTTGGCCAAACGTGGTATAACTGACTACTTGGCATTTTTACCCTACTATTTATTCAGTAAGAATAAATGTGTCATGTAAAGCACACGGTACAGTCGGTGCGTTGACGATGTGTATTGTAATGTAAACTTGCATGCTCTAAGTATGGGGGGGGGGCACATTTGTGGTACATTTTTTTTCCAGAAGCGTACCTGGTGAGCAAACTGTATCTGGTTACTACATACACACAATGGCATCATTTGCATAATTCGGGAGGGATGTAAACAGGTATTCGTGCGTTTCCTCCATTTAGCGCAGCTGGACGCTCTTTAAAAACCCCCCAAATCATATAGGATGCCGCCTATTTTATACACATTTTGCGATTTTTAGTCGTCGCGCAATCGATTGGCCATATCGGTTATTTTAAGGGGTATTTAATACCACGTTTAATTTGCATTTGATAATTTGGCGTTCTTATCTTCTCCTTTTACAATTTAATTGTATTTCTGTCACGCTTTCACAGAACTGGGTCAGTCACGCTTAAGGGGGATACATTTTTAAAGAGCCTTTCTTTACTCGCCCATCTAAGGCATAGGGATGTATCTTTTATTTATCCGTGTGCTTTCTTTAACGTGTCTTTGTGTTGCTTAAATACGGAATGCGCTAATCAATAAAAAATCATGGCGTTAATATACAATAAAGGGAGAATAGTAGGTTTAGGTCGTAAGATGCATATAAAGCCGATTTCCAAATCTCCGGTCAGACTCCGTGCTCTAAAGCGGTCAGCGGACGGGGAGGATTTACAAGGCTGGTTGTAAAAACATAGGCAAGAAACAATGTTAAATATGAGACAGTGTAATCCAATGTACAGATCGTCGCCATTTAAATGCTTGTAGGAAATTATGGTGCTTCCATAATCGCCATATTCCCTGCCGTTATTGTTAAGAATGTTGAGATTTTTTTTCCATGGGATTTAAAAGGAAATTTGTAGTTCTTTTTTTTTTTTTTTATAGAAAAACATCTAAGCTCACCAATTTAGGATAATGCGTTCTAAAGAGGGTGAAAATAATATTTTCACAATTTGAGCTGAGAATGAAAAAAATTACGTTTATTTGTCGTTTATTTGTGAAAGGTGCCAGACTAAGAAATTACCAATTTAACCTGCTCCATTTTACATCGTCTGTTATCGTTTATAAACACACTTAACTTGCAATATGTGCATCAAGTATGCTACTTGCACAGAAATCAGACTGGTATAAATCTATACTTAATAAATAAATATTTAACTTACGCAGACTAAACACAGGCAAATTACCATAATCGCTACCCCCCGAACAAACTTATCCTTCACGCTGATTATGATTATTAATAATACATTTTGATTGGAGGTAATAAAGGGGAAATTTGAATTGACATTGAAGTATAAACCCCCTCTCTCCAGAAGTACAGGACAAGGCCTGTCTCTGGGATGTTGTTGATTTTGAAATCCTAGGCTGAGGATAAGAGGAGACTTATTTTAGTTCCGGTTCTGTGCCTTTGGCCTATTCCTCAGATGTATGATATGAAAAGCTGCATTGGTTTTGCTGTGCACTGTGTAAAATAATTGTATCATTAATACAATTTACACAAGCATTAATCGGTACAGGGCCGCAGTGCGCCCAGGGCCTGTTTCAGGTAGCAGGGCACAGAGGGGACACCATGGATGGGATGCCAGGCCATCACAGGGCACTCACTCGCACACCGTGGGCAATGTAGAGGTGCCACTTCAACCCACCGCATATCTCTGTACTGTGGGTTGAAACCGGAATACCCAGTGGAAGTATATACAAACAGGAGCAGAACATGCAGAGTCCACAGACACTGAACTGAGGCCGGCATTCGAACCCCTAACCCTGGAGGTGTGCGTGTACGATGTGGCCTACTGTGCCACAGCAAATGCCCATAACTGCACCCTATAACAGAAAAATATGCTGCCATAATAAATTCAAATCAGTAGGCATTTATGGGGATAATTCTTAATCAGTAATGTGAGGTGCAGTGCCAACGCAGGGATGGAAGGGGTTTAATCTTTATGTCGTGCTTGTGAAAGTTAATAAAAGACAGACTTAGCTGGTGTAATACAATACTGGCTGATCATCTGATTTGAATAATTGCTCATAAAAGTTATGTACATTGATTGAATGAAAATAGTATGGTTACCCGTTTCACTTAATCACAAACATCATGCAGGAAAACACAGATCTCCAGTTGTAATATATTCGTATTTAACTGAATCTAAAACGGAATGAACAATACTGAACTTTCACTGTAGTAATGTGAGACGGGACTCCACCCTCACACTCTTCCCAGCCCAGTGTATATAAGCTAAAGGTCAATTTATGTCAAAACGGATTAAAGAGACAACTTATAAGATCTTGCGGAAATGACGTTGGGGTGTATAATTAGGATGGCTGTGGACGACACAATAGTTTTGCCAGCATATATAATGAACGAAGGAGTTGGGTCGAAAGGGGATAAATCGGGGCGTTTCCTGATAGTTCTTCGAAACAAAATTTTCATATAATCCTTTTACTAAGTCACTGTTTTAAATGTCAAATAATGTTTATTAAGCCAAATAAGTTCTACCAAACTCTCAAATATATATATTGATGTATACTTGAAAAATATTTAATAAAGATTTACAGATATATTCGGTTACTTATTTAGAAGTACATTTCAAGGTAATTATACCATTTACTGCGACGTGTGAACATAAGGTTTCTTTGCATCATTATCAGAAAAAACTCGAAATGATTGTGAATCGCTGCATTTAAGCGATGGATTTAGTTACAGATCTCATTTGCTTAAACGTGCTATTGAATCCACATGTAAACACACGCACGCACACACCATGACGTTTATAGACATGCATGTATGTGTACATGAGGCATATTTATAGCAATTTGTCTCTGACTGTACCTCAGCAAAAAGAGAAGCTGCTGTCCGCGGATTATTGTCACACGATGTTCACAGAGCCTCAGCTGGATTTTTACTCCCGCCCCCAGTGTCCTTTGTGTCCAATGTGGGCAGAGTAATATGATATTTATCTCGTTGCTTTGTAAAATTGCGTTATATTAAACTTGATTTGTGTTTCGCATGTGAAAATGTGGAAATGCGTTCCCATGGGGAAATGTAGCACTTGATCATAAGGAACGATAATTATACGAGTTATAACTCGACTCAAGAGGATTTGCAAACATGGATTGTGTGACGCATCCTTTGACTGATCGATTTGTTACAATAAACATGCGCTTTTGCTCCACGCTTCAGTAATCTACGCAGATTTTACAACTGATGGACAATTTATGTGGGATCCTTTCATTCTTTTTTCTGTAGTGGGGTTTGCAAAGGTGATTATTCGTTTGATTCTAGCCCTTTCACTTCAAAATGCAAAGCCAACATTTTATGGTGCGGTGAATATCCTGCATGCAGAATCTCTCCCAACTTTTTACATACTCTTTTTAAACTAAAAGGGCGAAATGAATTCAGATAAATTCGTACTCCCAAATATACCTTGATACAGCTGCAGTTGCACATACGGTGAAACTTAATTACTGTAGCAATTAGCTGAATTATCAGATGTACTTGAATTAGCTAAATTTATGTTACAGGATGCCAGTCAAATCACCAGCATATCAGCAAGGCAAGATAGTGGAGAGGGCATGATAGATAAGGAAGATAATACCATGCAGCAAGAAGACATAAACCAGAGAGAAGATGCAGTGTGAGCATTGGTCATTTGCTCTGTCTCCTATAAGCTATCAATGGGATTTCAGAAGAAGGTACCAGGATGATGAGACATTCATAGCATGACGGAAATGGGTGCACTATACCTTGACGTTTCAGTTTTACTGATTAGGGTTATAAAAGGTCAGGAGGTGTCAGAGAAAATATGCTGACCCAGATAATGGAGGCCAGGTTCGTTTCTGCATGTAGACTAAACAAATATACGTCAAGCACTTTCCTAAAACACATAGACGACAAAATACCGAATACGCCTAGTCAGCAGATATATGCTCGGCCGTTTTAAGTGTATATATTTTATTAAACGTTGCTTTCAGGAGGTTAAAAGTCCAGCCAAGACAGTTTTGGAAAAGTTATCAGCTGATAACTGTAAATTGCTTTCAGTAAGTGCAATTTCAAATGTGTGAGTGGAACACATGATTACACTGGAACTGGCCTCCATCAAATTTAAATCTTTGTTATTAGAGGGTGGTGGTGGTGTGTGTGTGTGTGGTGGGGGGGGGGGGGGGGGGTGGCAGTTGATCTCTAAAGTGAGAAGCACAGGACAGCACAGGCACTATAATGGCACTATAATGATATTTGGTATCAGTATTGAGATAAATTAGTGAAGCAATGTTTCTTTACACAAGGACGTGATAAATACATTCTACATTTATCCTTTGTTCTTCCGCTACACCGGTAAGATGCTTTTTAAATTTTTTTTTGTTGGGTCTTTTTACAGAGATTAATCGCAACCGTGTAATACACCATGCCAGACACCGTGAGACAGGGGAATCACCTTGCAGTTTTATTACCGCACGGTAGTGAAGCACACCTTCACTGTCACACGCTGCCGCACGCGCATGTCTGCACACCTTCTCTTCAAGCCCTGTGCCCATAAATCACTGTTTGCCGGCCAGTAGCAGATTGCACATTTGATCTGATTAAACTTGTGCTAAGACCCCTTAACCCCAAACCGTTTTTATCTGAATCATACAGCAGCCCCCCCTTTATGATTATCCGCTCACTTTGTCATGTTTGTCTATGATTTATTATGAAAAATTATGTTAGCCTGGGTCTTGGCAGCGAAAAGGGCAACTATACCACATTAATGCAATAATAAGGCTCTGTTCAGAGTACAAGGAG